ATTGATGCATTTATAGGGAACCTCATGCATTGTTTTTGAGAAAGCTTACTTGATCTATTCTTGCAAGACCTGCCATTGACCCAGGGTAATGGTGCTTCTGCCAGCTTCATGCCAGACAGTAATTGGATCCACCGCAGGAACAGGGGCCAAAAGGTTCTGGCACAAGAGATTGATGGGCTGAGAGATACAGGAGAAACTGTTTTACCCATCCACCAAACCTTGACCCCAAAACACATAGCAGGACCTCTCCGGGCTTCATGAAGCTCCTATTACTGTTCGTTCTGAAGCAGAGCTGGAGACCGAGCACCAGAGAGCAAGTCTCCGGTCTCCTGTTTCTTTTCATTTGATTCAGCTGAGAGTCAAGTTTCTGTTACTGAGGTTGCTCGGCTGCATTGCTTCTTCCTGAGAAATGTGCCCTTTGTCATGCGCTAAAGCCATTATTTGTGCACTTCTCATTTGTTTTGTGTGGCCTTTGGACATTTAGAGGCTTGTTAATGCTCACATACTCTCAAACAGTGTGCCACTTGCCACTCTCGCTGCTTTGTTTCTAATTAAATGTTCTCATTCTCTTTTGGCGCCATGGTTCACATGAAATGGCCAAACAATCTGGGTCCGCTTGGTTGGTGTGTGTGTTTCTGATTGGGTGGCTGATTAACAAACAAGACCATGTTTGTTTGCCAACATGTACTATTCAAGCTTCTAGGACGGTCATTGTGAAAGCAGTTCCTGTGGAGGCTGCTATTTATATTCCTTCAATTCATCTCATTAACTGCTTTGCAACATTTGCACTTCTGGATCTCTTCCAGGCCGAGACCTCTGCCTTTCATGTCAGTGTTTTGTAGTTCAGGTCTGGGGCGTTCGCTTGGCTGTAACTGACTACACAGCATGAATGCGAGGGACGGGAGCTGCTGTGGGCTGTGACCATGACCCCGGGAGCGATGCTTTCTAATAAGCCCAAAAACGGAGTGGAGTGCAATCATGTCCAACAAGCCAACAAAGCATCAAAGGGCCTCCATCTGCCAGCACACACAGGCAACCATTGTGGGATAGCAGACGCCGAAAGAGTCTGCTCACTTTAGAGGATCCAATTCAGTCATTCGCTTTCTTCTTTTTCTCCACAGAAGGATGGAGAGGCTGGGAAACATAATGGATTTAGAGGGAAGTAGTCTGTCACGCTGGCTCTCTAGTGCAGTGCTTGCTGATGAACTATCAAGGCTTCTTCACTCGAGATGGGAAGATGAGGAGTTGTGAAGCCTCTGGTTCCTCTAATGCACTTCTAATTTGCTATCGTGTCATCCTGAGATGTTCAGATCAATTATGTCCTGAACTACCACAGATTTATTTCTTAAGGAAGGGCCGTGTGCACTTGTTCCAGTAGTGAATCAGAACCAAATGGACCTAATGCCCAATATGTGTAATATCAAGAACAGCGCCTTGCCAAAAATCTTGTTGTTAAAGGGTTTTTCTTCTGTTCATTTTGAAATGAACTTGTCAGTGCCGTCTCTGCTTCTGGTTCATCTTAGGTGATGGCATGGAAAGACATGTAAGTGTCCACACTTGATAGCTTCATTATGCTTTTGTGTTATTTTTTTAAGCTTGAAAGCTCCGCCTGAAAGTCTCCACTCATTCACGTGATAGAAAGAAATGACCAGTGGATTCTACAAAAAAAGCTCTTTCTTTGTGTCCCATGGATGAAAGAAGACTGGATAAAACCAGCACTAGCCTTAACTAGTCTCAGGATGTTACATGAAGGCATCCTCGAGTGCATAACAGTGTTCAATATGAGAATGTTTACTTATTGGTTTTGATGGTCTTCTGTTTGTTCTGTTCTTGTTTTTGTTTTTTTAAATCATTCTCAGTCAAATATCCTCCTACTAATTGAACGATTGTCAATGCTTTTCCACACTGCTCCTTCGACACCAAACTCCCTGTTGGTCACACATCCTAGAACGGACTGTTTCCCATCATATTGGCTGTGGGTCGAGTTGTTTGTTTGGGTTTGTAGAATTTGCTGCTGGCAGAGCTCGGGGGGGGGGGGCTTTTCTGATGGCTTCTTCATGAATTTCCTCTGGTACTAAAGCTTGTTGTTTGGAATGGAGTCGCTGAGACAAACGAGAGATGGAAGGGGGGAAAGAGCAACAGAATTCATATTAGTGTGCCCTGCTAACACCTGGACCCCCTCCACCGTGCCCATCAGTAACTCTTCCTTTGGGAAGAGCCAGACACATTAATGCCTACAGGTCCTCGTGAATATTAATGAAGGCCAATGTTTGAACAATATCATATGCAAGAAATATAAAGAGAACCCTAATATAGTTAAGAATGTGGGGGGGGCAAAAAAAAATAAAAATATATATATATGAAATAAATAAATAAAAACAAAGGATTTTTTTTCCGGATGTAAGCATCAAAACAATGCACTACCGTATTGCAACGCATCAAAGCAGTCAATCCAACACGGTCAAGAATAACTTAAAGAGGTTGCCACTGTTTAGTGAACTGTGGACTAGCTTTGGCTCTTGCTGCTGACTTGAATGGTGATGCTTCCCGTTTGTCAGTTGATGGTCTTTCTTTTTTAACCAGAAATGTGCACGCTGCATTTCTGATGTTCATTGAAGTTTTCCATGTCTTTTTCCCGTGTCACTTGAAATGTTTCCGTTTTGAATCGTTGTTACCAAAGGCGAGACACGTGAGGAAAAAATAAACGATCAGTTGTGGGTCTATATTCTGTCATAAATCGCACACCATTCATTCATTGCTGAACTTTCTACCGTCCGTTACCGGAAATGAAATTAAATTACTGGTTAATATGTCCCGATCTCAATAAAGTTTACACAGGCTTTTGGTCCGTATCTCGCTCGGGACGCGTGCTGTCTGTGGAGGTTTGGCCAGGACCGGTTCCAGAATTAAATCAACATATTTTATGTTCCGTCCATTGCCAATCACTGCTATTCCGAGAGTGAACCCCGCATAAATATGCGGATGTCATTCCCAAAACTTTGCAGGGTGTAGCCTATGTGTTCGAAAAACGAACTAACACCTGGCCCCCCTCCACCGTGCCCATCAGTAACTCTTCCTTTGGGAAGAGCCAGACACATTAATGCCTACAGGTCCTCGTGAATATTAATGAAGGCCAATGTTTGAACAATATCATATGCAAGAAATATAAAGAGAACCCTAATATAGTTAAGAATGTGGGGGGGGCAAAAAAAAATAAAAATATATATATATGAAATAAATAAATAAAAACAAAGGATTTTTTTTCCGGATGTAAGCATCAAAACAATGCACTACCGTATTGCAACGCATCAAAGCAGTCAATCCAACACGGTCAAGAATAACTTAAAGAGGTTGCCACTGTTTAGTGAACTGTGGACTAGCTTTGGCTCTTGCTGCTGACTTGAATGGTGATGCTTCCCGTTTGTCAGTTGATGGTCTTTCTTTTTTAACCAGAAATGTGCACGCTGCATTTCTGATGTTCATTGAAGTTTTCCATGTCTTTTTCCCGTGTCACTTGAAATGTTTCCGTTTTGAATCGTTGTTACCAAAGGCGAGACACGTGAGGAAAAAATAAACGATCAGTTGTGGGTCTATATTCTGTCATAAATCGCACACCATTCATTCATTGCTGAACTTTCTACCGTCCGTTACCGGAAATGAAATTAAATTACTGGTTAATATGTCCCGATCTCAATAAAGTTTAAACAGGCTTTTGGTCCGTATCTCGCTCGGGACGCGTGCTGTCTGTGGAGGTTTGGCCAGGACCGGTTCCAGAATTAAATCAACATATTTTATGTTCCGTCCATTGCCAATCACTGCTATTCCGAGAGTGAACCCCGCATAAATATGCGGATGTCATTCCCAAAACTTTGCAGGGTGTAGCCTATGTGTTCGAAAAACGAAAGTTTCATACAAATTCTGAATGGATTATACCCTAGAAAGTGAGCAAAGCGCGCTCCCTTTATGACTAAAAAGCGTCACTCATCTTCGTTCATCGCGATCTTACAAAGTTCAGTTATAATCAGTGAAGCTCTCTAAACTGCACAATGAATCTCTTATTTACATCACGTCTGCACTTATTCATGAGATGATTCACGAGCGTGCATAACTGCACTTAAAAACTGCGGCGCTTTCAGCGGTGAGTGAATTCTGACAAAACGTTTCTGATTGGCCATTGCGTTTAAGAAATCAACAGATATGTCTGTGATTGGTTACATTGCTCAACACTGCAAAAACACGTTGACTGTATTAAGCGCTGCAGCGGGCCGACATCAGGGATTCCATGACTAACAATGTCGCCCATGTGTGTGGAGGTGAGAGTTATGAAAGCAGTGTGGCTGGATAATGGAATAATATCATAAGGAAAGAAGATCTACCAGATATCAGGAAATAGAGTGGTTATGTTTCATTGATGGCACAATAATTTTAGTAATTTCCTCCACATCAAGGCCGCAGGTCATCAAGCTTATGAGTGTTTCAGACGTAAGAACACACATTTTGCACATTAGGTTCAGCATCTTCAGTCTGTTTTTCTAGATTTATTTTATTTAATTTTTTTGCACTTTCCATCATTTTTTAAATCATATGACCTCTTCCTGTTCACGATTCATGCATTTTATTGGCTGATGAATGCCAGCCGTGTTTTCAAAAGTTGTCACATGACGAACGAGTCTAGTACTGACCACACTGAGCTTCCTGTCAATAGAGCCGCTTACTTGGAAGCCAGCTTCCGGATTGATTTATTTCCTGTAGGTTAAAGATCAATGATCACAGAGCACATGCACTAAGAAATCAATGAACGGATTCCTTTGCAGAGCTCCTAATTTAATCAGAGCGGTGGGCGGTAGTCGATGGTTATTGAGGCTGCTAATATAAGGTTCTTGGGAGACGTGTGAGAACACACACAATCACATTCACTAGCTGCAGGGACTGCATTGTGTTGCACAGACCGTTTTCACGCTGGTTCATTACACTGTGTCTCTTGTGTCTGTCTCTCGTAGGGTTCCAGGCATCACTATTGCCACAGACATCATCTGCGGTTTCCCAGGTGAGACGGAGGAGGACTTTGAGCAGACGATGGAGCTGGTGAGGCAGTACTGCTTTCCCAGCCTCTTCATCAACCAGTTCTACCCGCGGCCTGGGACTCCAGCGGCCAAGATGGAGCAGGTTCCAGCGCACGTGGTGAGATGTTAACAAGTGGATTTATTATGAATTAAAAGTACAAACTGAAAAAGTGATCTGCACATATCATTAAAAAAAAAAAGTAAATTCACTAAATGAATGCAATTGATCATTACTAGTTTCTTTGGAGTTTCTTCAGAAGATTCAATGCGGTTCCTACAACGTGAAGTTCCTACCAGACTGGGAATATAGTGTCTTGATGTACATCTCATACTGCTGCTCGCTTGCATTTCACTTTCCCACTCGTTCACTCTTTAAACTCACTCACTAAAAACTCAAAGATTGATAGTTGTTTTTCTTTTTCTTTTGAAAATCTTGCACTTGTATTAACAACTCATGTAGCCGTTCATACTGTATTCGATGAAACGGGCTTTAGACTGATTCGTGAGAGGGAAAATACTATTGAAATGTTGTAATGGACAGCTTGTGTTTCTTCTTAAGGTGTAATAATATCACATCTGATGACTGTGACAGACTGCTGATGGTGTTGAAGCCTGACCTGTTTCTGGTATAACAGCACCGGTTACACTACAGTCGATCACCTTTACCTGTGAACAAATGCTTCCAGATGACTGGGAAATGTGAATCTTCCTGTCGATTACTCTTCATTATGTAATGCAGCTGTAGGCAGACGTCTCCCAGATGTTTCTCAGCGATTACAATTAAACTGACTAATGAAGCTCACACTATTAGAGGAAGAGCAGCTTCACACATGGGGCCTGGTGCTGGTTCTACTATACACACCTTGTTCTGTGTTTCAGTGGTTGGTGTGGCCCTCGTTAGCATCAGCGTGCTCTGATTTAATGTAAGTCTGAGTGTTTCCGCTGTGCTTTCGTGTGTTGGACTGTGTGAGGTGTGACTGTCACCACCACATCATCTTTCATCAAACGTCTGGCATGTTTCTTTTATGGAAAGCTTCTTCATGTGTCATTTGTGTTGTTGGCTGTTCCAGCTCCGATCGATCCGCCCCACGTGCTACTGTAGGGTGAAACATCTGAATAGAACTGAATAGAGATGAGCTCTAATGAAGACGGGATTGCCCGTTACTGAGAATCCATTCACTGATCTGTCATTGGGGTAATGTTCAGGTTTCGTACACCCAGCAGAAGTCTCGCCACAGAATTTTGCACCATTTGAAGTCGAGAAATCGATGGTTTGTTTATTCCTACATACTGTAGCGAGAGATGCAGGAGTCAAGACTGGTAGAGATAAAGGCATGGATTACCTTTTCAAAATCTTTGCAAGAGAGCCAAGCCTTCGCTTTTGCCAAAAGCTTTAGATGGTAGAAGCTGGATTTTACAATCAAGATTATCTGTTTATCAAACGTAAGGGAACTATCAAATAGCACACCCAGGTTTTTTTCAACCGGTTTATGAAAGCAACATAACTGCTCCAAATTAAGATTCTGAGTATCATACCCATCTCTGTTTTGGATTTGTTTAAGCAGTCCAATAGAGGTTTTAGGTAGTGTTAATTCCGTTAACGAAAACTATGACGAAAAATGTTCATTGACAAGCTTTTTTCCCATGACTAAGATGAGACAACAATAAGGTCAATAAACGATAACTAAGACTATATCAACATGCAGTTTCATTGATGAAATAAGACGAGACTAAAATGTATTCAAAAAGATAAAAACTTTACCAAAAACCTCTTTTTATTTTCGTCAAAAAAAGGAGACAAAATGTTACTGCAGACTGCTCTACACGCCTCTACTGCGAGAGCGCTCATGAGTGTGGTTGCCAGATATCAAGAGTTCTAATCCCCGAATCAGAGCTTCGCTGTTACATTCATTCATTTTCTGCCCGGTGTTTTGCTTATTTTAAGCAATCTGGCAACCATGCGCACGCGCTCGCTCCTCACTGCAGAAGCGCCGCCGCAGATGACCTGAAAACACCGACAGACAAGCTGGAGTTTAGCATCTAAATAAAAACGTCACTCAGCCAGTCTGTGTTCTGTCACGAGATCTCGACTGTATTGTTTGCGATTGTGGTCGCTGTATAAATGCACTTACTCAACCGCTGTTGTTTTAATAGAGAAATATTTCAATGTTTTAATATTTTTCATTTGTTTTTACCAGTTTATGCATCTTTGGTATTAATTTATATAATAAAAAGCCTATAATAAATCAGTACACTAGATGAGGGAAAATAAACCATGTATGAGTCCACATTCTATTGATTTGTGCTTACTTACTTTCGTGCAATACCTGTAATGCAAATGTACATTTCTCAAATGACAACAATCTTTACGATTATAATTTTGAGCAAAAATAATTTTGATCAGTTTAACCATTATACAGCATGACGAAAATGCGACTAAGATTGCATTGACTAAAATCTGACTAAAATGCTCATACATTTCATTGACTAAATAAAAACAGGACAAGGTTGACTAAATCTGAAATACATAAAACGTACATTCGAGTAAGACTAAATTAAAAATGGCTGCCAAAATTAATACTGCTGTACAGTTAATTAATAATGATCTTATTGCTAAAATGTTGTTTTCATTGACTAAAACTAAATAGGATAAGGTTGACTAAATGTGATAAAAACTAACAAGGACATTTAACACGGGACTAAGACTAAAACTGAAGATAGCGTACAAAATGAACACTAGTTTTAGGGCATTGGAATCATTCCATTTCAATGGCATGTATAATACCGTGTCATGGAGGTGTTTGTGATGGAGCTGTTGTGTGTTTGCTGCTGGTGTTGCGGGTCATATCAGCTGTTCTGATAGAGGAGATGTTCGCTCTAGCATGGAGGAACAGGTCTCATCCCGACAGCGGGTGCGTCCCAGACCCACCTGCTGCATCCACACAAGAGCAGCCCTCTCCCAGACCCTTCAGAGATGGTCAGCTCTGGCGGGACGGTGCATTAATAACACTTCCAGGTGTCTGTCTGGGACCGAAGGATCCTCAGCGTTTAGCCCGTCTCATAGCAGCCGCCGCGGCGTGATGAATGGGGCAGTGAGCGTAATGGATGGCCTCGTGTTATCAGCGTCAGACGGTCGCTCGGGCCGAGCAGATCTGGCACGCAGGCGGAGCTGGAAAAACTGGGAGCCTCCAGACTGGTGTAATTACTCTAGGGAAGGGTTATCGGAGATAAATTGGCATGATCTCCTGGAATGCTGCTCTTACCAGCCAGACAGGTGTTTACCTTGACAGCTCGTCTTTAACCAGGGGAAATTAAGGAGCGTCCTCCAGTCAGAGTTAAGGGGATTTGGATTCCAAGCTTCTGCTGGTTTTGCGCAGGGATCGGTGAGGAATACCCAGCACATGTGAAAACACATTCATCTTAAAACAAAGACAGATGGGCGAGGCCTGGAGCGACCGATGCTAGCTTCATGGGGAAGACTGGAACAAAACAACAACTAAGCCGGAGTCGCTCACACTTGGGCCAAGACTCTTCATTTCCATCATTTAGCCGGTTCTCAGTCACCATGGAGAAGTGTCCAGATCTACAGCTGGTTGGTTATCTGCCCTGTGTGTCATCTCAGACTGTTTGAGTCCTTTCTGGGCTGTGTCAGAGAGATTGATGATGCAGATCCTGAGGTCTTGTGTGGTCTGTGAGACTGACTGTGACAGAAAGGCATGATGGGAAGAGAGAGAGCTCAACACCACATGCAGACTATTGTTCTGTGAATCCTGAAAAATAAAATGCATCACAGTTTCCACACAAATATTAGGCAGCACAACTGTTTTCAACATTGATCATAATCAGAAATGTTTCTTGAAGTTGCATGCATTGCATTGTGGGATAGAGTATTGCTAACGGTGGGTTCTGTTGCATGCTGCTGGATTTCACTGTGCAGCGTACAGTATACTGCAGGACTCAGACTCGCGTGTCCATTACATCCACTGATGTGTTTGTTTTGTAAGCCGAGCAGATGGACAGTATACGAGGTGCCGTCCTTCATCATTGTTGCGGTGACAGATGCGCGTTCAGTTTGGATTTATAAATATAGCAACATGTAGCATTTCAATGCCCAGTTTTCCCCAGTGTTAACTATGCAAATGATAAATAAATGCCTCTTGACTCTTGACTCTTGATCTCCATCTGCTGGAGACGTTTTCATGCTTTGCGCAAAGCCAAGCCTCACACGATCACGATCAGCTCGTCTTCTGCTGTTGAATATTTATAGACACGCAGCGGTCGATACTCGTGATGAGTAACGAGGACGACTCCTGACGCGCTCTGCAGAGCTCATATTGCTGTCAGAGCTGCAGTTAACTGTCCGGATGCCGTTTCTAAACTAGCCCAAGCTAGAACTCTGGTCACTTCTGACTAGGACTAATTTTTTCCAAAACGTTTGACCGATTCGTGATTTTTAACTAGTCAACTTGAAAAGGTAACTACAACATGGTTCAAGTAACTTTTTCTTTATTAACCCTCTAGTTAAAGAAAATTCTATTCCAAGTGCAGCACACATGAAGTAAATGTTAAACAAACACTTGTTAAATATCTTTGCAGAAAAGATTCATGAACTACAAACTTGTCTTACACATATTATATGTTCAGAAATAATGTGAGGAAGATGCTTTAAAATTCTCAAAAGTCAAGGTAATTCAAATTCAGAATGACTGAAGGAATAACAGCAGCAGACTATTATTAACTATAAATGTTCTGTAAAAACAATGAACAGCAGCTTTCAGTCTGTCACCATGATGCAAACATGAAATATCAGACTTACAGTAGTAGTTACAGGTTTTTATTCGCTTGCGCTGCTTTTCCACTGTTTTTTCTGTGTAAACATGGACGTGTTTGACTGTTGCGCTCGTGTCTCTTGCATGAAACGTCAGTCTAAACACACTGCTCAAGTTAAAAGAAGTTCTCTCCTATCTTCTTGCATGTTTTTCTTATTCCACTGCCTGCCACGCACCTTTCTCAACACAAGCTCATTCTGTGTGATATGTCACACGCGAGCGGTTAATCGTTCTTTACTCTTTACTGTTATCACCGGCAAACTCTCTAATTCTAACGTTTGCTAATATTTCTATATCCATGCGAGGCCCCAGCGGAGGAGGAACTGTATGGAAATGTGTTGATTCCCTGCTGTACAGCATCACAAGACATGATTGTCTCATTGAGAGCTGCTCGAGTCAAATGGAAACCCATTGAAACCCTACAGTGACTTTTGTCCGTCTTGCTCTTGCACGTCGTCTGTGAAGCTGAGCGACGACTTCAAATAAAGGGGGAAAGCGGTTCTTTGGCTTATCGAGATGATTTTTCACCTTGGCCTGCTGCTTTGGGGCCGGTGTAATCTTAGGACCCCGGCCCTAATAGACTGAAATATTGAGTTTCTCAAGGTCACTCCGGAGTTCATCTTTTTGATCAAATTCCGTTACTATTTTCCCCCGAATGAAGATGTGTGATTTGAGGAGGGTCGAGCGTATTCTCTGAAGCTTGGTTATCTCAGACCTTGCTAACCTCTCTCATTGTCTCTCGGTCCGAGTCAGACCTCCAGAAGGTGTGCTGCAGGAGAAAAGATCACTCCAGCACTGATTGAGTGGATGAATGTGAATATGGCTGGAGTGTGAGCGCTGTGAATCAGGTGTTGTGGAGCTGCTCATAGCCCCGAGGCTCTGCGTGTGGAGAGGGCTCTGGTCTGATTAGCTGAGGTGCTGTGGAGAAACACAGAGATGGGTCACAGGGGACAGACAGGTGTGGGCATGGATTCACTCTCGCGTCTGCATCTCAGTCCTGCGTGTGATCACGGGACGTCACGGGAGAGCTGGTTTATAGTGTTCTCTGTTCATCTGTTATATCAGATCTCATGAGCTGAAGTGTTTCTGGATTGTAGGAATATGTTGGTGACCATTTCTGGTCTTTGTAGTGAAAATCACTGAATGCAGATGAAAAAAAAAAGAATTATTTCTATCGTTTCCAAGAAGATAATCAGCTTTCCCACTGTTGGTTGTTATTATTAGAACTGTCAGTTCAGTGCTTTGCTTTAGTTCATCATATAACAGAAATAACGTCAAATATAGTCATGCCTCACTGATTTGTACATAAATTTGTACATTCCTTAACATTTTTGAAGTACTGATTAAATACTGACTTGTTTTTGACACAGATGTCACAAACCACAATTTTAATTCCATTTCAATTCAGATTTAATATAATTAATTGACACAGAGTTATAATGTTGTGATGTCTGTTTTCACATGAAGCATGTCAAATTCTAGTGTCAAACTGATAAATAACGGCTGACATGAAGTATTTTGTGTCTTTCTATATCAGTTCATGCCAGAAAAATAACCAGTCAACCTAAATGAAATAATGATTAGATATACAATTGCTCTTATACACTCAGGTAGATTTTAACTATTGGTTATTTGACATAATATGAGTAGTTAAGAGTCCAGAATGACTATAATGTGCATCTGTAGTGTTTCATTGTCCTCTGAATGGTGACCTCATTCACTGTTTTTCAGTTTAATTGAGTCTTACAGCCATAATCTAAAATGTTTGTCATTGTGCACCTGCACCGTTTTCATGATGAGAAATCCCTCATGAATCATGTATGTGAAGTGTATATTATAGAGTGGTTCTCCTCACATCCGCACTGGCTGTGAAACATGACTTCTCATCAACGAGACGCTGCATAATCGCTCATAATTAGCCTTTCTTTAACTCGTGACTGCATTCAAATCCATCACACATCTCCTCAATGCTCAGCGTTTGCGTTTCATTACAAATGAGGGACGTATGAGTTTTGTAGGAGAGATCTTGAGGCCAAATATCCTCACGTTCTTCCCTTCAAGTGTCTGATGTCTTCACGTCACTCGATTTGGCCTTCAGAGTTCACTGACTTGATTTTGGTTTGTTTTTCCCTCTCTGTTTTTCTACGTTCTTTCTTCAGTTAATTAACACTGGTGTTTTGTTGTTGTTTTTCTCTTCCACAGAAGAAACAAAGAACTAAAGAGCTCTCTGCCCTCTTCCACTCGTACAAGCCTTATGACCACAAGGTAAGAGAAGCTGTGTTTATTTAATATAGATGTTAATGCTGTTTTTATTTTTTTTGTGTGTGTGTGCGTTGTATTCCATAGAGAGAGAGGTTATTATGAAACTAAAGCTAAGATGTAAAATGATGAGCGATATCAGCGTGCTGTTGAACAGGAACAGGAAGTGGTGTTTTAATGACATCATTAAAGTTTGAGCTCATCGCAGAACCCCATCAAACCCACGTCAGTGCAGTCTCTGAATGCTCTCGTCTCATTCTGACGCGGCATTACTGTAGCTGATCAGAGCTGCTGTAATCAAGCTCTTCATTAACGAAAGACAACAGCAGCGCTGCTAACAGAGATGTAGAGAAATGAAAGGTGATGCTTTTTAAATACTTTATGCTTCCAGCTTCTATAAATGTAGCTTCTTTACTGCTTCAGTGGACGTTGGTCTGTGTTTTATGTGTGTAGATGATGCAGCCAGCAGTGTACTGATACAGACGTTTTATCAGTTATCAATATGTTTTACGGCCAAAAATCACTAATGACTGTATATATACAAAAATGTACTTTTTTAATTTTTTGATCTGCTTCCAGCCTAATCTGAGCAGTAAGTGCAGAATTAGCCAATATAGCTACTGTATAAAAACGGGATGAGCGTGTGTTGGTCTTACAGAAACCCTGTGAATCCCATCATAAACACAGGCGCTCTTCTGAAGGGACGGTGATCTTTGGCAGATGGCGGATCTAATAATGCTTTAGATGTTTTTTTTCCACGTCTCCTGCGTGTTTGTGCCACCAGAGCCGCCCACGCTCCGTCACTCTCATCAGGACCACATTAAAACATGATTTGAAGCTCATCTCATCAGTTTGAGCTCTGACTGACACGAGTCCATGCGTGTGTGTACAGTAGGTGTGGATCAGACAGATTTAGATCAGCGCTCCTGATCTCCTCAGAAGGGACTTAATCACAGTATTCTGCTTATTATGTGCCAGCTTCCTATTAAAGTACTGTCATTTATGCAGGAGTACTGCAGAATGCTGGCATGTGTTCCACTGACGACACGCGTAATAAATGTGTGTGTGATTTGATTTTGATCAGATTGTTTGCCGTTGCTGTGTGTGTGTTGCGGATCTGTTCCTCATGCGCTTTGCTTCAGTCTGAGCTCATGAGGCCGGTGTTGGTTTTGATGGAAATTTGTATGCATCAAAGACCACTGGCCTCAGATCAGGCTCATTTGCATATTGTAGCCCCGCCCCCAGCCTTGTGATCAGCCGTTAGTGCAGTAATTACACATGGTCGTGATTCCTGAGGCGTTTTCACAGCGCTCTCTTCACATGCATAGTGTTCTTACATTGCTAAAAAAGTAATAAGAACACAGTAACTGTTTAATTTGCAGCTTCTAGCCGTTGTCCAGCTGTTATTATTAATATCCTCCTTGGTTTGGGATCATTAGTCAGTAAATCCTTGTCATGATGGAGTCATGCGTTCATTGCTGTGTGTGTTAGTGTCAGTGTGTGTGTCAGTGTGTGTGAGAGTGAGACTGTGAGTGTGTGTGTGTGTGTGCAGTGATCAGGCATGAAGAGGCTGATATTGTGTACAGATGCATAATGAAGGCAGGAGCCCAGTGTTTGGGGCAGTGATTTATGTGATCTCTCTACAGCCAGATGGCAGTGAACGAGGCCCATCAGTCACAGTCAAAGGCTATTGAGCAGTGTACAATGCTGTGTGTGAGCAGCGATCGGCCGGGGACGCAGCAGCACCTCTCTGAGCTCCAGCTTTGTGCTTCACCACAATAAAGAGCAGATCAGCTGAGGAACACACACAGATGTCTGCTGAGTCCCCACAGTTTGATCCTCACACATACATGTGTTTGTCTGCAAAGTGTTATTGTTTCAAAGTGTTATTGTTTCAGCAGCAATTTAGTTTAAAGCTTGTTTATCAGCCCACACTTATTTTCTCCATATGGCCAAACATGATCGTTTGACTCCTGATTCTCAGCATTATGAATCCAGTGTCTGATGGACTCTTTATCATCGGTCTCTGACCGCTCTGTGACTGACCTCTGTTTGTTGTCCTGCTGCTGTCTCAGAGGCGGGTGGAAACTCATCTTTAATTCACGCTTGATTCACAGCTCTCTCTTTATTAGTTGTAGTTTGTCGTTTGACACAGAAACACTGAGGCGCTCGCGTCCGCTCCTTCATTCGGTCTCCTGGAGGTTTGTTTTAATTACAGCTGGCTTTAATCTTAAGACTTTTATAATTTGATCAGTAATCTTTGCTTTCAAATCAGAAATTGTGAGTGGGTGAATTAATTTAGCAATTAATTAGTGCAATTAATTAATGACCTATTAGATTTGCATGAGTGAGTGCAAAGGCTTTGTTAATCAAGTTTTATACAGCTCATTATTTTCTCAAGGGGCGTCTGAGATATCAGAAACGGAGTTCAGTCGTCGAGGTGGCTTGAACTGACAGCATTTACTCACGCTTCTGTCGTTCCAAACCTGTAAACTGAGATGTTTAGCAGTACGTCCATGCTACTGTTTTCCTTATAAACATCAGCTGTCGGAGATTCACATTGAGTTTATTACTTGGGCTCCATTTCCCCAGTCTTCTGATCATACCATAGATTGTATTATGCAGAACAGAGCCATTTATTTGCTGTGAATCTCTAATCATATAGTAGCTCTCAGACCAGATGGTCATGTTCAGACATGAGTGTCAGCATTGCATGAAGATTATTCTGAAGGAAGTCATTCGTGTTTGAGAGAGCAAGTGAATTATGGTTTTACTGTCCCTTCAGCTTCTCAATATTTAGATTTTTTTTGCACTCTCAGTTTCCAGATTTTCAAATATTGTCCGATCCTAACAAACACAGATGAAGCTTCAGGCAGTGTGGTGTTACGCTCCACACAGGAACACAGTGATGTTATTGGATTCAAAGTGCTGCTTTTGTTCGTCTCTTGGACATTAATCTCTGTGATGCTCTCATGATGTCTGGAAACGCTGCCTTGTTATTGTAAGACAAAAGAAGAGGCGAGTGTGTCCTGTCTCTGTCCCTGTCTCTACTCGTTTGAAGGCACATGCATCGTCCTGCAGTGGTTTACAGATGTGTGGTTTTGTTCCTGCTCTTTAGTCTGTTGTTTTAGAGAGAGATCTCTCTCTGGAGCGTGGTGTGTTTCTCTGAGACGTGAGCTGATGGGAGAATCTACAGCGAGAGACAGAGGTGGGGTCAGCATCTGTGTGATTTCACAGCTCTTCTAGTTATTCAGTCTGGGTTTGTTCACAATGTGTTTTGTGTATAAATGAGAATTATTCAGGAATAAATGCTGTTGTAGCATGCAGATGAACAGAATGAGATAGCAATGCATATTACTAATCAAAAATTAAGTTTGATATATTTACGGTTGGAAATTTACAAAATATCTTCATGGAACATGATCTTTACTTAATATACTAATGATTTTTGGCATAACAATGTATTGTTGGCTATTATTGGCTATAAATATACCTGTGCTACTTATGACTGCTTTTGTGCTCTAGGGTCACATATTAGTCACTCATATTAGTAACACTGGGTCACACTTTGTTTTGATAGTTTGCTATAGATATTCTAGTATAGGTAACTTTGCAAGTACATGTTAACTCATTCTACTAACAGTCTACTAATACTCTAACGAGAGTTAGCTGGCATGTAGTTGCAGAGTTACTTAGTCAACAGAATGTCTAAAGGGGTCCAATCAAAATACAGTGTAACCCAGCACTGAAACAAATACTAAACCTTAACCTGTACCCTAGTATAGTGTTAGTAGCACATTCTGGTAAATAGCATTATTGTTTGTCATGATTGGATCCAACCCCAATATTTCTGAACTACTCTTGACAGGTGAAGGTGTGATGGAGTTAATGAAAACACACACACTGATACACATACACATACACATACACGCACACTCACACACACACACTCACACAGACACACGCACACACACGCTCCTGTAGCAGCTCCTTTAGATGGCTGCTATTGCTGTCATGATCTCCGTCTCATGTGTGTGTGATGTTACTGAAGCCTCATCAGTCAGTCTGTTGGACCGTGAGGTGATGGAGCTTCAGTTCACTGGATCCATCTTCAGAGCTGTAGTCCTGTAAACTCTACAGCAGGTGGAGGAGCGTCCTGGACAGCTGTTGAGCGGCTCATGTTTGGCGTGACTTGTCGTCTCTCTGAGAGAAGCGTTTAAGGCTTCGAGCAGACGTGTCACAACACGCACTGGTTAGTTTAATAACAAACTACCCGTCAGACAGCAGCTGAGATCTCTCTGAACCTGGAGAGCTGCATGTGTAATATTCAGTATTGATTGAAATAATGTTGTTTTAGGAGACATTTCAGTTGTCTTTATTCACCATCTTTGCTGGATTTTTTATTTTTATTTATTTTTTTTTTTTTACTTGTCGCAGTGCATTATGGCATTGCCTCCTTTGAAGAATTAAAAATAAGTAAAACATTGTGATAAGTTATGTAGTTAGGCAGCACACTGCAGTAGATTTAGCAGTAGAGCTGCTGTTCTCATACAGGCTTGTTTCAGTCCAGACATCCACATTTCATGCAGAGAGTGTCTCAGAGTTTATCCTGAGTTCGGATGTGTTTCAAATGCTTTTACACAGCAGTATATCATATATGTTAGTAACTGGTTAATGAATGTCATCAGTCAGTTTTAAAGCGCTCCTGAAGCTCAAATGCAGCTGACGGGTCACGGTGAGCGAGTGCGTTGCTGTGGTTTTGTTTATGTTGTATTAATGTGACTAATATCCTCTCATCTGCTTTATCTGCTGCTTTGCTTGTTGAGTTTGTGGGTGGGCAAACACATCTGGAGCCACGGTTAACAAGCCTTTCATGTCAAAGCCCCCTGAAACTAGTCCACTTACACAACAGCATAATCATCTGCTCAAACAGCACAACAGACACTTTCACAGCCGGATTATGGCTTTTGTTGAGCGATGACTCGATAGCAGCCTGTGATTTTAAG